TGCCCAAGTAAAATGTCACAGGGGTCTGGTTTTGCTCTCTTTCTGACTCTCTCCCTCTGTCTAAATCTCTCAAATACATCACCTGTATTGGTATTACCATTAAAACCAGTAAAGGGTAAAGAGATCTATAATAGCATTACCATGCTACCATGTTAAAGGCCAGACTCAAATCAAAGCTTTGCAAAGGGCAAAGGCCTTGTTAAGAAGGTTGAGTGGTAGACGAATCTGGTAGATATTAATGACAATTCTTTCAATTACAGTTGCTGTTTGTCAGAAACCCTAGACAAAGGGGGACTCTTTGCAAAGACCCTAATTACCTTGACAGAAGCATTCACCTAATGGCACACATACACAGACACACACACACTTAGCTAAGGGGGACTGAATTTGATTTATCTTTTTGAAAATATTCAATCATAGTAGAAAGGCTGCTTTTTGGCTCTTCAGAGATTTTAGATAATACAATTATATGTTTTATTTGAATGACAAAAGACATATGGTCTGTCCATTTAATTCCCTAACATTTGATTACCATTTGTAATCGGTTAGTGCACTTTACCCACTTATGTTTCGTCTGTTTGTCTATGCACAAATGTTTGTCAATGTTTAAAAAGGATTACATGCAAGATGATTAATAGCTAAACACATTTAAAGCATATTCAAAGCATTACAATTCTTCTGAAAAACATTTTACAGCGTTGCAAGCGAGAGCTGAGAAACTGATTTAAAATCCTGGATGATCGAGGAGAGGTTGGACTGTAATGGGAGGCTCTTGACCCCTGATGTTCCCATGGAGCTACTCTGTAGCCAGGAGTCAAACTCTGCGATTGTGTTGGGCAGCTCCCATGAGTGACCGAGAAAAAGAAGCTGTGAATGTAAAGCTAAGGCAATCCTGAAAAATCGCTGATATTTGCCATATGCTCCTTTTCATGTGAACACAAATTTATTGCATAAACTCATTAAAATCTTTCATCTCAAACTGTGTAGCTGTTTTTCACTGAATGAATACCAAATCTTATGTAACCGAATTGAATAAGTTAACCGTGCAATACTTTTGAAAAAACTTAATGTAAAGAGCCTCAAATCCTCTCAAATTAAACTTTTAAAAAAATCTCAGTTTAATGCACGCAGGCAAGCTTTTTCCACATCTGATTGTTTAATGTCTATCAAAGAGAACATTAATATGAAGGATTATGGAAGACTATTTAGGAGTGGTTGAAGGGAAACACAAAAACCTGTTTAAAGAGCAACCTGAAGGGGATTTCTTCTTTTGAAAAATTCCCCTCTAGTTACTGTCTAGACTCCACCCTTGAATACATAGAGACAGGAAAAGACATCATAGGGTCGAATTAAGTTGTTATCTTGGGTAACGCATTGTTCAGTGAAGCAAAGCTGTCTACTCTAATCGCATCCTCTATATTTCTGTGAGCCGAGTAAAGTTCATTTTCCCCTGAGATGAGAAAACAGGGCAAGGTTTCTCAAATTAAATCGGAAAATAATGTTGGTAGCAGGATAGAAAGGATCGGATCTGACCCACAACTAAAAAAGGACTCCCCGACTACTTCTTAGAACTGACTCCTGCCTGTAATCTTAATTTAAATAAACTAAATAATATATAAACTAAACTGTCTTCTTGTTACTGCTTTAAAAGAAAAAGAAACAACAAATTGCAAATTGCACACATTGTAATTGTTCATCATTTGCGTTTGATCGAAAACATAAGTTTACGTGACATGTTGGTTGTAAATAAACATCCTGTACCTAAAATGGTCTTCATGGCCGGGCTGAATGTGGCAGGTTCCTCCATTAGAGCAGGGGAAGCTTATACAGGCGTTGATCGTAACTTCGCAGTCTTGACCCTGGATGACCAGAAAGGACAGCAAAGACATACAAAATGTACTTTTAGACACTTCTCTTCCTACATTATTCAAACAAATACACGTTTCAGGCCAAGATCACTGTATTCATTGTTCTTACACGGTAGCCTCAACACCACAGCAGAAGGCAAGGCAGAATATATAGTTAAAGTCCCAAAGTATTGAAAAAATGTAAAGCACAGACAGCAATTGCGGTTAAAAAACAAAATAGGTCTTTTCCATCACTGCCTGAAGTTTAGGTAATTACAGTTAATGTCGTAACAGCGTTTTAAACTTTTTGAAGGGAAAATTGCTTGCAGAGTCAGAGAGGATCAAATGCATTTCTGTTTTAACAGAATGCATTTGTGTAACAAGCAACTTTGAAAGATTTCTCTACTCTTATTTCTTTTGCTTCACTGCTCGCCTAAACCAATTTACAATTTGCAGCTCAACCAATGTATATACTCGCAAAGGCACACAACACAAACATGTAAAACTGAACCTCTGATTCCTTGCTTCCCAACCAACAAGAACAGTGTTAGTTATATCCAGCTGTAAAGAGACTCATACACACCCATCCTTATGGCCATAGTTTTAGTTTCAAACTAACTTTGGCTGCTATCGCTTCTGCTTCATTTGATAATTTACAAAAATAAGATGTTAATACTTGTTTCACTTTCAAACTGATCTTTTTTTCATCTAGGAATTGCATTTATGTTTAGTTAAATCCCTCTTTTATATAAGTTCTTTATCTTCCTAGCTGGTCCTCTCTTTTAGCTGTTTCTCCTTCCTTCTCACTGTCATACTGCCTTTTTTAGTTCATGTCATCCTCTTCTCTTTCTTCCAGCTCTCCATTTTCCTCCCTTTGTCCTATAGTTACATTTCAAGCACTCCTTGTCTCCCTTTTCTCATCCCACTTTTCCTTCTGTCTTTGTTCTTTGTTGCTCCTTATTTGATTCCTTTAACACATTTTAATTAACTTTGTCCCCGTGGACCTCAGCAGAGGCTGAAAAGCACAGACACAGATGTGTACATGCTCACACACAGAAACACAATTGCAGTCTGTGCTTCCCAGTATGTGACCTTGGCAAGTGATGTTTTAATTAAAAGCAATTCTGATGCTTTGTTCTACTATAAAAACCAAAAAGGTTGTGGGGTTTATGTTCACATACGATCAAAAGACTATCTTTTAAGACCTTGAACACAAACACAGGTACACAAAATAATCTTCTGAGCTTTGAAACACAAGATCTTTGTTGAAATATGACGCTTACTCCCGGGTAGCCTGATGTGTACACATACAGCATTGTGCAAAAGTATCGGACACTTAATAGCTTTTCAGTTACAATTTACTTAGATATAAACTAAGTAATTGTTTAATTGCATATTATTTAGAAAGTCTGTTTTTTCCATTTCAGTTAAGTGAAAAGAGACAAAAAATATTCATTCATGTTTCTCTGATTAATCAGTCCTTCAATTTTAGGCAGTCATAATTTAATTTAACGCACAGGTAGATAAGTTATGTGTATAAGGCACAAGTTGAGCCTGGTAAGCCCCGCCTCTAGCCCATAGACTACTGGGATAGGCTCCACATAAGCGGTCGAGAAGATGGATGGATGGATGGATGTGTGCCTTGTCTCTGAGGTGTCTCACCTTGAATCCATATGGACAGGTGCAGCGGTACGAGCCGGCAGAATCTGAGACGCAGGTGCCATTATTTTGGCAGGGGGCTGCCAAGCAGGGGGCACACTTTGACATCAGGCTTATATCCGCTGGACCTATAAGAGAGAGAAAGGGTGACGAGGGGGGAAGTGAAAATAAAAGATGAAAGAGGTAAAAAGGAATGTTCAGTTTAAAATATTCAAAGTGGTCAAGGAAAGGAGTTAACAGTCCTAAGAACTCCACTTAGAAAAAAAAAAAGATTAATTTGAAATATTTACTAAAAAGGGTAATATTTTTATTTAGGAATAATCCCAGAGCATAATACAGAAAGCTCTATTGATGAAAGAAGGGTAGAATAAAGAAAATAGAGACGTGTACTTACCTTTACACTGAAATTTGTTGAGTGGTGTGGTGAGTAATAGTCTGTCAGCCATGTCAGGGGGTCCAGTGCATCGAGCAATCCCTAGAATCATGGTTTATCAGCTTTTATCTGCCTTTTCTCTCATCATATATTTGTAAATGGTCACACCAAATTTTGGTTACAGCTGATCTAATAGCATATTGATTTCTTACCAGGCTCTTTAAAGCCAGCCTTGACCCACTGAGAGAGCCAGCGTAAGTCACAGTTACAGTACAAAGGGTTCGCACCAAGGGCCCTGTGCACAATTACGAGAAATGACACAAAAGGGAGATTTACTTCTTAGATACTCATTCTCAAAAGAGCCCACTTTGAATGGGAAAAAAGGAAAATGGGCTTTTACTTACAGGTGGGAGAGAGAAGTGAGGTGGTTGAAAGCCCCCTCTGGGATAGTTGACAGGTCATTACCATGGAGAGTCCTGGCGAAAGTAGAAATGTGCAGAACAAGAGAGGACATAAATATTCATCACAACAATGACCATACTGCGCATTTAAAAAGTTGCTTTCCGACTCACCGATCGTGTTCTTTGTGTAGTTATTTAATCTAATCAAATACTTGTGCTTTCATAATTACACGTTTTGCCGTAAGTGGGAATGTTAATCAGCTTGCTCATTATTGCTGCATCTTACATACAGTTTATAAATTACTAATGAACCTTAATATGCACCTAGGCGTTCATTTTGATCCAGATCTTACAGACGCACATTCTTTTTAGCTTGAGCTTTCAACCTAAAAAACTTACACGCCATTGTGACCGGCTGCATGCTAAATTATTCAGATGTATTTGTGGTTCCTTGTTGCAGACACACAATCAACCCATTTCTATAATGGAATATAAATGAAAAATGTATGAAGGATAATGAAAGATGAAAACAAAAGTCTATTTTCACTGTTGAACTGCAGTTATGGAACAGAAAACTCTCATATGGTGATTTAATGGACTGTGGATATTGTGTGTGAATGGAAAGAATTGTGTCATAAGAACTGAAAGTTGAGAAGTTTAACGTGTGGGCATCAATTTTTTTTTATAGACTTCACTGTGTAGAGGTGTTTGTGATTTTGAGACTTTTGTCCCGGAGAAGTCAGAAAGTAGTAGGTTGAGTAGGTTTGTGCTGTGTGTATCCATTTTCAACATGCCGCCCGCTGGATACAGGTTCTCAGTCTATTAGAGGCGAGGGCTGTGGCAGGGGACACCTATCAAAGCACCACTATTGGCAAACTGCATGGGTGTGTGCACGTACATGCATTAACGTCAACCATAATGTTTGAATACAAATGTTTGAATGCAGATGTAAGTGTGGATTTTGTCCACATATATATGCTTGTGTCAATCCTTATTGTCTTTATGTGTTTCTATGAATATGTGTGTGTGTGTGTGTGTGTGTGTGTGTGTGGTGCATGTGTGCATGGTGGTCTAACAGCCCCAGTACAAGTCTGGTCCCAAGGGGGGCTGTGGGTAATGAGGAAGGGACAGTGATGACTGCCTGGCAACCAGTTGCTATGCAGGGGCAGAAAGGGACCAGTCCCCACGGCAACATCAGCAAAAATGAAAGGATGACAGAACCAAAAAAAAATAAAAAGTCATCACCAAACTCATAAGAGACAATCAATTAGAGAAAAAAAAAGCCAAGGCTGGAATCTCAAGGGGTATAACTAAGGTCACTAAAGCTGCTTTCTCATTAATGCATATCAGAGTTTGTCTAACAGACCAGGTTGCAATGCCTGCTGAAATTTTTAGTTTTTCTTCTTTTCTGTGATTTTTGTGTTCTAATAAGTTAATACTAGAAAATCAATTGATTCATGTTTTAATAAAAAATTAGAGTGATGGTCACACCGACAAGATTCAAATTCACTTTCAAATGAGGAGAACATGCATGATTCACACACAAATGTGTTTGTATATATGTGGATCACGTCAAACTGACATGCCAGGATTGAAAGACCAATACACCTCACCAAGACACAAGACAACAACACTGGGACGGCAATCAAACTAGATTAATGTGCCTAAATCATATAAAATTAATGGGAGGTCATCGCAATTGAAGGCCATTGTGGAAGACGTAAGGGTAGGTACAAATACGTTGAAATCCCGCAGGTAACTTCAATCCATTTAGTTCAATTTTATTTATATAGCACCAAATTACAAATGTCATCTCTAGGTATTTTCTAGGTTTCTAATATGCCACTGACAGATTGAAGAAGTAGCTGATATGGAGAAGTACTACCAATGGCTAGAAAAGGCTAATCTAGTAGCATATTTTCTATAATACATCTAGCTTAGATCACAAATGTTTTCTTCTTTACACAGACTTTGAAAATGTATAGAACTCAACATGGGACATATAAGAGAACCAGTCAGTTCTTCCATGACAGAGAGTACAAGGTGTTAATTTGCATGTGCTCCAAGTTTAGTGTACCACAGATGTGTTCAGGTTTTGTTCAGATTTATGTATCTGCAGCTGTTTGTATTTCAGAGTGGTCAGACAGCAGGATCCACATGCACATTGTGAGTGCGCATGCATGAGGGTTTTCGAGACAGAGGGTGGACAACCAAATGGATGACTGAGAAAGACAGAGGCTGAAAGTTGATCCATCAAACGCAACACTGGGCGGAGGCAGAGAAAAGGAGGAGAGGATGGATGGACGGCATGAAGGATGCCAGAGCATGCAAACAGAAACAGAGTATTTAAGAAAGGACAGATTTACATTTTTTTTCTCTTTTAGTCCCATGAGACAAAAACGCTTGGTTGAATGTGACCGGGTTTCAATATGCTACTTGGCTCAATATCAGGGAAGTGATTAAACCCTGATTTAGCTCAGTGATAATATAGTTACCAGAAGGGAGTGCTGAATATTAAATTCACAGTGGCAGAAGAGGATAGGGCATGCTACTCACAGCAGGCGTAGTGACTTGAGCCCATCAAAGGCATGGCCTGGGATACAGCGAATCTGGTTATAGCTCAGGATGCTGAAAGATGAAGGACACAGTGGGACTGAATGACACACACAGCACACTGTATTTCAACAAAAATTATAGAACCGTTGTACTATGTAGGTTGTACATGAGGAAATTGAAAAGCACATTTTAAAGTAATAAAAATAAGAGGGTGTATAAAAACCAGTTGGGTGCAGTTGACCGCTCCATGTTTCTTTGTTTCAGCATTTTTCTAGTTCTTTGAAATTGTGTGTTATCTATGACATTTTTGGTTGCTTTTATCCTTAGTTAGATTTTAGTAAATGTTCACTTCTTTGTAAGAAAATGCTACACAGCATGTGTCATATTGCCACTCTTCTGGTTCGTCCTACAGGCTGATTTATTTATTTGTGATTCTCTTTGGTTTTCTCCTGGCAGTTTTACCTTGTCTAAGTTTTTGTTTACAACAATTCTGCCTGACTTTTATCATTAGCTCTCTCAGTATTTGTTCTTGTTGATTTTCTTTGTTTTATTGTCTGTGTTGTCACCCATTCTGTTCCTGTTAACACACCCATATGTTTTCTGTCTTCAGCATGTTTTTTTTCTTTTAATTGGATTTGTGTTTTGGATTTATCTTTGCACTCTTTGATTACCTGCTCTGCAGCACACTCAGTTTATCTAGTTTATTCATTAAAGATACTTTATTTCCTCATTTACAACCTGTATTAAATCCCCCCTCTGACATTACAACATACGTTGACACATCAGCATGACTTTGTTTTAATACTTACAGTGTGGCTAGTTGTGTCATGTTGCTGAAGGTGTACGGAGCCAATGTGCTAATACTGTTGTTACTCAGGTCCCTGCATGGATGCAAACACAGAGTAAATGCACACAGAAAAAAAAGAATGCCAAACTTTTGCAGCTGTTTACATAACCACCATAGGCTTAGTGAACAACTAAAAATGTTGGCTTATGCATATCCAGTTCAAGGTTATGTGAGAGCTACATACACCAGCGACAGCTGCTTCAGGGCGGCCAGCTCCTTGGGCACAGATGTCAGCATATTACCCTCCAGGTAACTGCAAGGAAACATGCAAGTTCATTTAGTATGTTGTCCAACTGCACGCATACAGGCCTTCAGGGCTGAATAAATGCCACTACAAAACAATGTGGTCTGAAAACGTCTGTCACAAAATGTGGCAGACAGAGGAGATTAAAGGCAAACAGGAGAAGTGGGCTGATGATATTTGCCTTAAAGTACAAAGTCCAATAAACTGTTTATTGGAAGTTAGATATAACTAGTTTCTTTATATTTGCCATCCTTATTGCGTTATTGTAGCCATATGGTGGAAAATCTGATAGATATACAGAAGCCCTTTCTCCTGGATGAATTCAACTACAGTTCCAAAAGGTTTGAGAGGATAAGTGAAACACATTTAAAAAAACAGAATTATAAGACTAGCAAATCTTATAAAGCCAATGTTATTTTCATAATAGGACAGATAACTCATCTCACATCAAAGTGAGACATTTATGGGTATGCATGGCGTACATTTATTGCTATTTGCAAACCATTTCATTGTGTATTTATTCACATTTTGCATGCTTCAAATGTACACACATCGTAAGACCGAAAAATGTAGCACCATGATTTCATTATGCCATGTCCTCTTAGTACCCTTTGTGGTTGCACAATGATATTTCATCCCTTTTTCTTCGTACTATACAATGAAGTGTTTGTTTCTACCAGAAAAGCTAAAAAATGTTTTACATACATACATGCATGAATATGCATAGAAATTACATTCACCAATGTTTATAAGATGCTTGCAGTATTCACTACAAGTCTACATAAGAATTTGGTTGACAAAGTGGAAGAAAACAATCACACTACAGCACACACAGATGCCCCCATACTTTATGATCTAATGGCCTCTCCAGTCACTTTCAGGTCATAAGTAGGTCATGTGGACAGTATGATGGAGTGTCTTCTTCAGCCTAATCAATACCTAATCACTGCTATTGACCCTGTAGACCGGACCTATTTTACACTTTGGGAGCTTTCTATATGTGTTTGTTAGTGTGCATGTGGTTGTCTGTGCACCTGTGCATGAAAGTGTAATAATTCACATTTACTGTTAGAGACTCAGTCTTGAGTATCTTAAACATTTCCTGCTCTTGATTAAGATTACCTAAACTTTGTCGTTCCCTGCATCAACTCTATTAATTACTATCTTAGAAATGTCCTTAATTGGTCTTCCTTAATTTCAGGATCTCAAACAAGCTTAACTTTTAATGACTGATAAAAGTCCTTTTAGAGAGTGCAGCATGTGGAATAGACAGAGAATTGTCCATAAAATAAACAACTAAGGCAATAATTTGCAATTACATATAATGAATACAAGCCAAATGTGCCACTCCATCTTTAAGATTTCCTTGTGAATGATATCTAATTATTGATCTACTGGTTGATGGTGACCACAAAAGATATATCTGCACAAGATATATGTATTTTGATAAAAATGGTTTATATCTGAGACGCATAAAGGAAAAACAAAAAAAAGGCTAACAACATCCAATAGATATGATAAAAAATATATATATCTCTTTTATATATATATAATCTGAGTACAATCTTACAGTTCCCCTAAACTGTTGGTGTTGTGATATCATACATTTACATTAGCATACCTAAGCATCCAAACAGGCATAAGCACAAAAAAATCAGCAGCACATATTTAACAACACTCGTAAAACATTCAGTACAGTATTTTGTGTGTGTATTAAAATAAACAATTTGCTACTTCCTGAAGCAGCAGAGCATGAAGTGAAGCATCAGTATTGCACTGCAGCAAAGTGGGACTGTCTGTGTTTATGCAAGTGTGTGTTGTCACTTCATATGTTATTGGACAATATGCAGTGACAAAGTAGATTTTTTTTTCTGATTTGTGTTTGTGTTGATGTGTCAGCTGGTAGACTAATCTTTTTTTTCTGTCTGGTGGATTTGTTGTGTATGTCTGACTCACAGCTCTGTGGTGTCCTTGGGAATGCCTTTAGGCAAAGAGTGGAGCCCTCTGTTACTGCATCGCACAACACCATCTGAGCACGTGCAGACGTCAGGACAACCAGATGCAGGGAGGCAACCATTATCCTCAGCACCTGGAGAAAGAAAAGTGGAAAAACACATAGGAAAAAGAAAAGGAAAAAGTGATGCAGGAGGGATGAAGACAGAGGAAGAGATAAAATGGCACGAACAAACATCGAACCCAAGCTATTAATGTGGCTCAAGGCTATTATCATAAAAAGCCTACAGTCAGCACTTTGTAACTGTGCTTTATTATCCATAAGAAATTACCCGAGGCTGCCTAAAGAATGTGCAATATTTTCACCATCTGACTTGGGACACATAAGCAAGCCAGTATCTTTAAACACCCTCATATGATAAAAAAGAAATTAAATTAAAACACAATAATTTTTCCTGAGATGCTGAAATAGCTTTAAAATGGCATTATCAGAAACACCAATTTAAACTGGACACAACATCAATGGTGAGTTGTTATCACTGCCAGCAGTGTTTGATCTTTTAGAAGTTTGTAATATAAGTCTATAAGGTGTAATTAACATTCACCCTAACCCTGTCAACATGTGATTGCTCAATAACATTTGAAGCACACATGTGACCCATTAAGTCACGAGCAACAAAATCTTGAAGCATGCAAAATAAGTTGGTCCCTTTTTGTCTTATGAGTTGTATTGCCTGTAAGTTCAGATAGCAGCTACACTTACAGACTGGAATCATACCAACACTAAGTGATAAGAAGGATCAGAGGCTACAGCTGAGTGTTATTAATGGCTTAGATGGTCTTCCGTTTATTCACTTAACATGCCCACAACTTTAAATTAGTAGCACCAAATGTAAAGCAAGCATAGTGAAGGATAATGAAGACAGAATACTAAATCAGTCATAACCCAACCATGATTTAGGTTTGTGTGCACGATGTGTGCACATTGGAGAGAATAGACAACAGTTTATAGTCATATTTTTGGACTTTGCTTAGTGTTTGTACCTGCATTCAGTCGTCAACTGGTGATTTATTACGTGTGTATGGAAGTGCTGAACATGCTGAGTTTGTTGTTCTAATCAGCTCCTTGCCTTTTCTAGGGGCATTCTGTCATTTGCTTGGTTGTTCCTTAATTGAGCTAATGTCCACACGTTGAACGTGTAAGTGTTTCTGAGCCTGTAAGTGGAATAGTGTACGCAGTTATGAATGTGTGTGTCTAATCTTATGCGTGTAGCTTGTGAGTCCACAGGGAGGTGTTGCTGGGGGCTGACTCATTCCACACTTGGCTAATTGAACTAACATCTAAATGTGTGCTAAATATCCTCTCACAAATTCAATTAACTTTACCTTTCCACCAGCTGGCCCTGGGCACCTTAACAGCCATTTTAACTCAACTATAAATAGACTGGACATGAAACTGTATGTGCCGGTGTGGGTATGCGTGTGTTTCATCTCGCCTATTCTTTGGAGAACAAATATAAGATTTACACCCCTCAGAGTGAGGACACTTAAGCTTTACCAGGAGGTTATGCTGGATAGTTTGTCTGTTTGAGCGTCAGCGGGATATCATCACGCCTCTGAGAACTGATGGGCCCTGAGCCAAAGAACAATCGATTTCACGTTGAAGATGATCTACGTCTTTGATTTAAAAAAATCAAGCCTATTGAAATATAAACGGTAAAAGAGAAGAGCAGCATATTGAGGACAAAATGCTTTGTAATGTAGTTCATGACAGTGGCACCCATGACTCTTAATTAATTTAATGTTTTAATTAATTCAATGTCTGAGGGGCTGAGAGAATCCTAAAGTGATCTTTTGAGTATGCATGTGTGTGCAAAAGCAGGAACGAATATTAAGCTCTGATATCATCTTAGAGTGTCCTTAATTGAACCAACCCAGCTCGTTGCTTCCAACATTAATTTTTAGTAAATGGCTGCAGTTCAGCAGCAGGAAATTAAAAAAGTGTAATGAATTTCAGAAACTGCGAGGTGAAGTGGGAACAGTACATTAGAAAAAGAACAAAACGTGTTTTAAAAGCAGGAGAATAAGGGATTCACAGATGAATGTAATAAATAGAAAAGTGGGACCAAACCTTGTCTTTGAACAATGTTGTCAGCTAAGTTTCAAAAGTCTAAGCAGACAAAATTATGGTAAAAAAAGATATATGGTACAGTCTGAGCTGTGTTCTACACATGGCTTCGATTAAATTGTTGGTGTTGCTTAAGTGTACTTTGCTGTGGAAAAAACAAACAAAAGTGGAACTCTTCTCTAAGTTTTTCAACTTCTTATGCTTCTCTGCTTCATTTGAGATTTTACTTTCTTTTTATTAATAGCAGGTTAACCCTGCTTAAGATACATTTCAAACACTCCATTGCCAGTGGTTAAGATTTTCTGTGTTCTTGCAATACCACATTGTGTGCGTGTGTGTGTGTGTGTGTGTGTGGACTATCTGCACATCTGTTGCTAAAGATATCAGATGATGGAAACGCTTGGCATGAATATTTTGACGGTTTAATTAAAACTGTGATCACATTAGTCTTTTTCCAAACCATTAAGCAAGGGCTTGTAAGGTTATGATATGAATAAAGTTGCTGAAAACAATAAAACATTGTTTAAGCTCCGCCTTTTGACGTTTAGGGGTAATGATTGCTATGATGCTGCTGTAATAAAATAAAAGGGTGATCTCTGTTCACATTGTGAACAAGTTACAACTATAGACTGAAAACTAAATTCAGAATAAATATGACATTAAACAATTTTCTTGCGGAAGTTTCCTTTTTCAGGTCCTTATGGGAAAAATGCTAAATTACATCTGTTATTGGCAGGAGTAAACATGATGCAAGGACACATTGAATTATCCTCCACTCACTTGACTCATAGTCTTATCTACTCAGGACAGATGGCTGCCACCGACACATGTCATTTGTTTTGGGTTTAAGGCGATGACCTTTTTGTTTCCCTGACACTCCAGTGTAATTTTCAACGCTTGCTGCACATCCTCTGCCGCTGAGTAAGTCAAGATTAACACAAAGAATTATGGGTCTAATACTCTTTTAGTAAGGTTTTATGTGCTATTAATTTCCAACGAATTTTCAATGAACCAAAGGGAATATGAATCACAAACGTTTAGGCTAACGTAATGGCGGAGGGAAAAGAAGGCTCACCGTCACACGTAAAATCTGGGGTAGCCACATCCTGGATGGGGATCTCTTTCAGGAAGGCTGGTTTCTGACAGCGAGGGTTTCCACTCACCACCCTGGTCTTCTTCAGCCACTGACCCAGCCAGGCCAAATGGCAATCACACATATACGGGTTGGATAGTAGGTTACTATGGAAATAATGAATAGAAGAGACAGAACAAAGTTATTAAATCAGGTTAAGTTAAAAAAGGGAAAAATAGTGAACTCTCAATAAATAATGCATTGCAGTTGTAGTTACATAACAACCACTTTTGCTGTGTGAATGCTAAATGAGCCTGTCATCTCCCTTGCAAATACTGTCATGAAAAAGGGATGAATCCATCCATAGAGATGCTAGGCAGCCAAATGTATTTTCCTCAGATTGACCTAAAATTATTGTGACTCAGGATCAGCTATTCATCTTGATGATAATTCTGTTGTTTGTATCTGCAAAGAACATAATGATTTTTGGTCTGTCATACACATCTGAATAAATTTGGATTGAAAAAGAAGAAAAAGAAGAATAGGGAGTAGAGGAAAGGTCATGGGTTATTTTTATTCAATTTCTGTTGTACAATGGAGATCGTGAATGTTAAAGAAAAGTGTCAGAGTCAGAAAACCACAAAGAAAAGAGAGAAAAGGTTATCTTCTAATTTTATTCATTTTTGATCATCTCATTGCATTTAGTTGCTTTTTTTAAAGCACAGTTCATGTAATATTTATGTTGACCCATATTTAAACTGAAAAGAGTGGAAGCAGGCACAGGCAGCGTGCTTATTTTAATGCTGCTTTGGACATTTCTTGTGGCACGCAAACAGATATAACGCTATGCTAACATAATAGATAAATGTGATATCAATTGACATTAAAATATCTGTTTATTTCAGCTTAATTTTACTGTTTATAACTCAAAAATTTTATTTATCATGAACTCTGAAAAATTATCTTTTGTCGGTTACTCAGTAATATCTGAGACAATGTTCTGTGAAATGTTTGCAATATGGCCACCGACCCCTGTTTTAAATTAATTGATCCATCGATTTGCTATTTCCAATTCTGCTGCTCCCCCCGCGACCCGACCCTGGATAAGCGGTGGAGAATGGATAGATGAAAATTCAAAAGAGGAAAATGGCAAAAAATGTCTTACCTGTTTTTACAACCCGGCACTGAACATAATTTAACTAATTCAAGCACTAAAATTATCTATATATCACTGTAGAAAGGCAAATATGTAAATACTACTGTGATGTTGTGTTCCAAAATCTGCAAGCAGCACATGGGTTCTTCCTGTATTGCTCCACTAATAAAAATTAAAGCAGCTTTATGTGCAACAATATTAATAGGGCATGCTATTACAGATAAGGATGAGCTGTTTACTCAATTCCTTGTAATGAACTGACCTCACAAGCTAAATCCCTGTCTTCCTTTGCAATGTGTTAATCTTTTAATTAAATGGACAAACTCAACAGGGAAACGCGCTCTCAGAATAGAAACAGATAGTGAAAACGGTCTGAAAGAGAACAGAAGAACAGGAAGGGAAGTGGAAAGAGCAAAGGACTTAGAAACGGAAAGTGTCCATCTTTCTTTCGTGTTTGACAGATGACAGAATATCATGTCAACTCAGATTATGAAACCATCGAGGAGCTCAGGCTGAGCTCATCTTTACAGCAATTATCAGCTGCCCAGTGGGCAAACCAGAGTTTCTACAATAGTTTATTTATCTATCCCACATGCCTATGTGCCCCATCTCTCCTCCAATTAAAGAAGTCATGATGCGAGGACACTGACTTGATTTGACTTGGACATGTATCAAATTGTGGAGTTTCACTGATTTGATAAAATGTATTCCTCGCATTGTTGATATTGGAATGGAAAGTGGACAGAAGAAATAAAAATACACCCACAGTAATACACAAAATCCCTCCTTACCTCCTAAAAATATCATACCTCAGGTTAATAGTTGTAAGAGTTTTACCTTTTTTATACTATGCTGAAAGTGAACACTAGTTTTCATGTTCACAGTAATGAAAACTTCTGAACTCTCCTCGTTACCAACTCATACAGCAAACTTACCCATCAATTAAGCATGCATCTTTGTGTGCTTAAAACAAGCTTGTGTGTGTGTGTTTTCAGATGCTTGAATTCCTAGCTTTGATAACAAATGTCCTTAGATGCAAGCCTTCTAGTCAAAACTGACAGAGAGCATCTGTGTTGATGATATTGTCCTGAACAACATGAACATTTTTGCTAACGGATACAAGAGAGAGAGTTGCACAAAAGGTAGGAGGTCGTGACACAAATTGAAAGATGTTGAAAATACAGGGATGACTTTAAAAATCTCAGTGATTTTAAGCGATTCACACAGATAAAACTCACATGGTGGACAGGGAATGCAGGGTGGAGAACGCTCCCGGGGCGATGCTGGATATCCTGTTGTCATACAGCGACAGCAGGCGTACTGAGCTCAGACCTGTGAATGTGCTGTTGTCAATGCAGGTGATCTGGTTGCTCCGCAGCATTCTAGAAACACACATAGCGAATATTTAGTAAAAATTATTATTTGCATCCTACCTACGTCTCCTACCTAAATCCTGAAGTCAAAAAGTTAATGCTGTGAAAACAGTTGAGAATAAATACATTAGTCTTTCATTAATCAATTCATTAATTAATTTAACTCGAGAGATAATGTAATATAACATCAATAAGACATTAGTTGAAAATAATATTTTGGTGAAAATAAATAAAGATACAAAATAAAGAAAAATAACCTTTAATGTGGCTGAAAGATGAAACAGAACAGGAGTAAATCCAAACCAGTCTCCAATGGACAAACATGACAGACGCCATGATTACACATAGCATTTGACATGCAGCCATGTGGGACCATAAGTGAGTTAGTTAGCATTAGCAGTCTCTGGGAAATGCTAACCAAGTTAGCAAGGCTATTACTGGAGCAAGGAGCCTCTTAACATAATACAGAGACAGTCATGATATCATTAGAGAGTCATTAGCTAGCATATATATACATGATAGCATTAGGTGGTCATTACAGAGCGTACACTGTAGACTATCCTGTAACCCCTAATTGGCGGCCCGAATTAGAGGAACAACAATATGCTGTTATTAGGGTTAGTGTCAGATTGAGTTAGTGAGCAATCTTTGTCCTCGCTTTAAAATCCAAATAGGCAAAAGTTAAGACCACTGTGAATCAGAAGCAACACAGTCATAGTCTGCTTAACAGTAAATGCTGACAGGATCCAAACCATCTCAGAATTTGCAGACCTTGTTCAGTTAAAAGCCGGTCAGACAGTAAATAGCGCAACTTAACTTCATACATTTTCTTGTAAAAGCAAATCTTCTTAATTATACAAGATCTTTGGATAGTTAAAAACATAAAAAACATCAAGAATAACTCTTAAAATAGACTCAAACAGTCATGTCTTTACTGCTCTCATCTACAATAGCGAAACCATTAAATTGGGTATGGCCAATAATTAAATCTAAAGAATATTGAACACCAAGACACAGTGGGAGCAACTGTCTTTAAGAGATGAACATCCCTTAAAGGCAAGGTGTGTTTGAAGGGTGTGTTTTTCATAAAATTAACCTTTTTTTTAGCTCTAACCATCATTGTTTTGAAATTCTAACTATATCATACAGTCCCTTGTAATTAATGTTGTTAATTTGAGATAGTGGATTACTTTGACGATCCTCATCATATGTTTGAAAAACGTAATTTTAGCCCTATATCTATAGAATAATCTTCCTACTATAATTTGCAATTTGATGTCTTTAGTGTTTCAAGTTAATTCTCCTGGATGAGATCTATTGCACACTCCACAGCATCAATAAAATAAGCCCCCACAGGCAAGAGCATAGCAGACTTACAGAGTTTTCAGGCCAGTGAGGCCTCTGAACATGCGTCCCTGCAGTCCAGTTAGCTTGTTTCCAGTTAGCAGCAGCTCTAAAACTCCTCCTGCTCCATCAAATGCACCTTCTTGAATATCTCTCAGCTTGTTGTTGCTCAGGTTGCTGCAGGAAGACCACACATAAAGCACACATGGAAAACATTTTCCATTAAACGGCAAGAATCAATCTCCTCTTGTACATCTTCATTTCCTTGTCTTGAAGTAGAGATGCATGATACCAGACAGACCATGCTATCTCCATTACTCACAAAGCACACACCAAGCTTCCACATATATAAATAAATGAGACAAGTGGTCACAAATGAATGAAAATGATTGTAATCTGTCTTCTCTGCACATACAATGAGAGAAATAAAAAAAGAATAAGAGCACTTGGCCAAAAACACAATAACTTGAGATGATAGTAATCATAAGCATTATGGCTTTCATTTACAGCAACTTTTGTATTTCTCCTTATCAACTTTTTGGAAGCTGGGGATAAGGGGTTGAACCTATGAAGTGGGGCAGTAAAAAAGCGTTAAAAAATTAATGATTGAAGACTGAAATGAATCACAGTCAAGAAAACACAAGGGAAAGTCTGAGGTGAGGAGAGTCAAGGGAAGAAGACCAAGCAGAAAAGGAAGGAATGGGGAGAAGGAAAATGGAAATGAGTGCAAACCAATCTATATTTTCAGTGACACTGCTAGATGGTTAGCAATTTCCTTTCCAATAAATCAACCTCTTGTCTCCGCTCTGTCTTCTCTATCTTACTCGGAAACACACATACACACATGCACAAACACACACACACATCTAGAGTAGGTCGTAGATAGGATCTGACTGTAAATCTGAACTGAAGGCCTATCTTCTATTACCATTTAATATTTGCTCACTCCATACCACTAACCAACCTTTCCCCTCTTTCCATTTTCATGCCCCCCCTCCAATCCCACTGTCTCTTCCTGCTTTTCTTTCTCTGTTCCTCATTCACTTCTCAGATATTCACTCAAACCCCATCTGTAATCTTGCCGCCCCCCCCTCAGTTCTCTTCTTTTTCATTTTACCCCCACTGATTTGATCTTTATCCCAATCTGATTTGTTCCTCTTAAGTCTCCATCCTCTTTCCATCCACTGTCATTAATTTATTCCTGTCGTGCTGTTATTGCATAATTATCTTCAATCATTCCAAGGAAATAGGGAGCCATTTTCTAGATTGTGCTATTATGTTACGAATCTTCTTAAAAAAATGCCTTTAAAACATATACATACATCTTCTTTAAGTTTGGGAGCTTCTTGAAACTTCCTGTCGCTTCCAAGATGGCAATTTCGTTGTCGTTTAACCTCCTAAAAAGACGAAAAGAAATAAAAAGGGAAGTTAGATCTTTATTCTTTCATGAAACAAACTTATTTTCATATTTCTTTACAGACAGACTCATGTACATGTGCGAATAAATCAGGAGCCAGTGGCTTTGGGAATTGCTGCTAGAAAATCAGGACTACTTTTAGAGGGTGCTAAAGTATGATGCAGCACAAAACAATAGGATGAGGAAGAAATAAACATTTGTTGGAGAAAGGAAGACAAGGGAAGAGCAATTAATCTTTTCTATGTAGTCATCAATACCAACATTGCCCTAAGCGAAGAGAAAACAGTTTGAATGATAGGAAGCTAGACATCTGCTTTATTGAGGTAATTTGTACTAAAGGGGTGCTTCAAAAGGGATGGTCTTTGTGTATGTGTACGCAAAAGCTGTGTAGCGGGAGAATTAGGGAAGGCAGTGGAAGTTCAGCTCAAGGGGACGGTTTCTAATGAGATACAGGGCCTTAAAAGATGATTCAACCTGGATCAAGAATATGTCAAAAATATA